AAAGAAAGAAAGGGAGGGAGGGAGGGACGGTGGGAGGAAGGCAGGAAGGAAGGAAAAAAGAAAGAAGGAAGGAAGATAAAGTAAAATAAAGTAAAATATAATAGAGTTATTAAATTAAAAAATAATTATTAAGAAAAAAATTTTAAAAAAATGGATAGAATCTTGGGACAAATGGTGGAAGCAAAGCTATACAGACGAAATCTCACACAGAAGCATACACATACACACTGACAAAAGGAGGAAAAGGGGAAAAAAGCATAAATCTTGCTGTCAAAGTCCCCCTCCTGAATTTGGGATGATTTGTTGTCTAAAGGAGGGAAGGAAGGAAAGAAAGAAGGAAGATAAAGTAAAATAAAGTTATTAAAATTAATTATTAAGAAAAAAAAAAAACGGACGGGTAGAACCCTAGGACAAATGGTGCAAGCAAAGCTATACAGACAAAATCTCACACAGAAGCATACACATACACACTCAGAAAAAGAGGAAAAGGGGAAAAAATAATACATCTTGCTCTCGGAGTCCACCTCAATTTGGGATGATTCGTTGTCTATTCAGGTATTCCACAGATGCAGGGCACATTAAGTTGATTGTGGAGCTTTAATCCGCTGCACCTGAGGCTGCTGGGAGAGATTTCCCTTTCTCTTCTTTGTTCGCACAACTCCCAGGGGCTCATCTTTGGATTGGGCCCCGCTTCTGCGTTCAGGTCGCTGGAGGGCGTCTGTTCTTCGCTCAGACGGGACGGGGTTAAAGGAGCCGCTGATTAGGAGGCTCTGGCTCACTCAGGCCGGCGGAGGGAGGGGCACGGAGTGTGGGGCGGGCCTGCGCGCCGGCGTGACGTTGCACCAACCGGAGGCGCGCTGTGCGTTCTCCCGGGGAAGTTGTCCCTGGATCCCAGGAACCTGGCCGTGGCGGGCTGCACAGGCTCCCTGGAAGGGGGGTGTGGATAGTGACCTGTGCTCGCAGAGTCCCCTTGCTGGCGGCAGCAGCAGCCTTAATGTCTCTCGCCCGTCTCTGGGGTCCGCGCTTTCAGCCGCGGCTCGCGCCTGTCTCTGGAGCTCCTTTAAGGAGCACTCTCAATCCTGTCTCCTCGCGCACCAGGAAACAAAGAGGGAAGAAAAAGTCTCTTGCCTCTTCCGCGGCTCCAGACCTTTTCCCGGACTCCCTCCGGGCTAGCCGTGGTGCACTAACCCCTTCAGGCTGTGTTCACGCCGCCAACCCCAGTCCTCTCCCTGCGCTCTGAACAAAGCTGGAGCCTCAGCTCTCAGCCCCGCCCGCCCCAGCGGGTGAGCAGACAAGCCTCTCGGGCTGGTGAGTGCTGGTCGGCATTGATCCTCTGTGCGGGAATCTCTCCACTTTTCCCTCCGCACCCTGTTGCTGTGCTCTCCTCCGCCGCTTCGAAGCTTTCCCCCTCCGCCGCCACCCGCAGTCTCCGCCCGCGAAGGGGCTTCCTAGTGTGTGGAAACTTTTCGGCCTTCACTGCTCCCTCCCACTGGTGCAGGTCCCATCCCTATTCTTTTGTCTCTGTTCTTTCTTTTGCCCTACCCAGGTACGTGGGGAGTTTCTTGCTTTTTGGGAGGTCTGAGGTCTTCTGCCAGCGTTCAGTATGTGTTCTGTAGGAGTTGTTCCACGTGTAGATGTATTTCTGGTGTATCTGTGGGGAGGAAGGTGATCTCCGCGTCTTACTCTTCCGCCATCTTCCCCTCGTCCCCCCTAGTCATTGTTAATTAGTCTGATACAATCTATTTTGTTTACCCTCTGCTTCATTTTTAGCCAACAAGTCCCAAATTTGGAAAAGCTGACTCATATGAAAAACTGGAAAAACTAGGAGAAGGATCTTATGCTACAGTATACAAAGGAAAAAGCAAGTAAGTTCATTAATTTTTGAATATTTCACATGTAAAATATACCTGTTCTCTTACTAGTAAGTAACAGTATGTTTAAATAATTTTTATTTAATACACAATAGATTTTCCTCCCTCAGGTTTTTTGTTGTTATCGTTGTTGTCATTGTTTTAACGATTGTAAAAGAGTTGTAAAAGAATTGCTTTTCTCCGTGAGCAAACAGTTTTGCAGACCTGTCCAATTTATCTTTTCTGTCCTTCCTCTCTTCCAACTTTGTTTTCTCTTTCTCTCATTGGAACCCTCAAATGAGAATTCATTTCCAGGTGAATGATGTGATTAATTTCTCATGGAGGTTTAGCGTTTGCTTAAGAATAAGAGTACTGATTTGACAAAGCCAAATGTATTGATTATTCCTGACATCTTTTTAACTTGAGCTTTTACTCCATCTTTCAGAAGTCACTTAATTAAACAAACTGCAAACTCTTTCTTCCTGTGTCCTTTGGCGTCATGCCGCATATATTTCCACACAGAGAAACAACTCTTCCCCCCTTTGTCCTCTTCCCCCACATTCTCTAAGGGTCAGGGCACAGATTTGGGTTCTTAAAAAGCTTGCCCCTGTATGTTTCTGAGGCCTCCTCCCTCTCCCATATTGAGTAAGAGCACAGATTTGGTGGCATGTAGCTTGTAGAAACTTTTAATACTCTTCCTGAAATAACTACAGGAGACAAAAGCCTCATTTTACCTTAATAACAGTACCAAGCAGTGTTGAAAAAATTTTTTCTAAACTATCCTTGTTATTGTCTCCCTTTTAAGTCATTGTGTAAGATAGGAAATTCTAACTAATTACTCAGCAGTAATTGAATTACTAACTAAGCTAAGTAATTAAAGAGATAGAGAAGACAGTTCTCTGAAGGATCATTCTAAACACATAATTGGAAATTTTGACTATGTGCTTATTTAGGTACTCTGTGGCTTTTCTGGAATGCAGTCTTATACCTTTGTTCATAGTTTTCAAGTTAAGATGAAGGAATATTCCTGATAAAGGAAGATTTGTAAGTAAGGAAATTCAGAAATGCTGTAGATCAAAATAGAGTATTAATTTTGACTCTCAGACATTTGCCCAAAAAAAACCTTTAAAAAATTTGAATAGAAGAAAAATATGATGGGGAAGGAAAAAAAAAATCTAGAGGGCTGTTAATGGCTTCACTGTGTCTCTTAAGCATTATGGAATGTCATGGTAATGGCATAAATGGTTGAGTTAATTTCAATAGTGGTTGTGTCCCAAGTTTTGGTATTTTTTCCTAAGGAAAAATAGTACTCTACTGTGTAAAAATTACTTGAACCTTTCACGTTAATAAGGTGAAGATAACTATACTGGATTAAGCAATTATTTTGTGTAAAATATGTTGTATTCATTGTCTCATTTATTCTTCACAATACTCTATAAGAAAGGTCCCATTTTTATATTATTATAATCTCTGCTGGACCAGACATCTTGGTGCTTAGAGAAATTTAGTCACTTGTCCAAGTCAGTACAGGTTATTAGTGACAGAACTTGTCTTGGCTCATGTGTTTATGGTTTGAGGTCATCTTTTCCTAACCATTTTACATACTGCTTCCACAGGATAAGGCCTTCTTGGAAAGACTTGGTCCTTGTTGAGTATTCTAGATGGTTCTCCCAGATGCTCTGATTTGTTTTAATGGTGGATCAAACAGAAGCAAACGTACTATTTCATTATAAGGAAACAAACCAGTCATTTTGAAGTGCCTTCCCACCAGAGATATGCTCAGCTAATTTCCAGATGCAAGATAATAACTATTAAATGTTTAACTTTAAGATTTATGACAAAATCTTGAAAGATAGTTGAAACATTCTCCATTTATTATGCCCAAATAAAAGAAAGACTGCAATCTTTGAGAAGGATAGTTCTGGACAGTTAATACTTTTCACTCCATCAGGTCTCAATGTATCTTGTCAGCATTTCTCAAGCAGTTTAAATCTTGCTGGTCACATGTACTATTTAATTTCCTCCAGCTGGAGATGAAAGCCATTGACCACTCACCTGCTTTAGGAGATGGCAGGCTGCTTGTGCTTATTTGCTTTATGGTGGCAAGGTCAGGCCAAAGAACAACAGTTACGTGCCATCTAGCAACATTAAGAGAGCTGAATTTGGTGTGTCTCCTAAAGCACTATGTAATTTAAAGAGTCAACTGAATGTTAGGATCCCTGTTCCAGTACGCCTCACCGCTTTCCCATAGCTGTCTGCATCCCTGCCTCCATCTTTAAACGTTATATTTAGCATCTACCCCAAGAGCAGCTATCGTTATCTTGCAACAAAGCTGCATGGCATTTGTAGAGATACCCATGATACTCAGTTGGTGAGCATTTTATATATATGTGTATTGAATTACAGGTGTCAAGTTTGGATTTTGCAATAAACCTCATTGTATTCGTTTGCTAGGACTGCTAAAACAAATACCATAGAGTGGGTGGCTAAAACAACAGAAATTTATCATCTCTTAGTTCTGGAGGCTAGACCTAAGATCAAGGTATTGGCAGAGTTGGTTTCTTTCTGAGGGTTGGTCCTGTAAGGGAGAATCTGTTCCATGCCTCTCTCATAGCTTCTGCGGTGTGCTGGCAATCTTTGGCATTCCTGGCTCGTAGATGCATCACCCTGATGTCTGCCTTTATGGTCACATGGTGTTCTCTCTCTTGGTGTGTTTGTCTCCACATCCAAATTTCCCCTTTTTATAAGACTACTAGTCATTTTGGATTAGGGCCCACTGTAATGACCTCACTTTAGCTTGATTACTTCTATAAAGACCCTATTTCCAAATAAGGTCACATTCTGAGGTTTTAGGGGTTAGAACTTCAACATTTCTTTTTTGGAGGATACAGTTCAATCTATAACACTCATTGATTTCAAACCTCACTAATTTGGCATTGTGTTCATGATAATATTCTTCTTCATCTCCATTTATGATATATGTAAGTCGTCTTTTATTTCATGGTTCAAATATATGAGCAAAGGATATCCCCCCATCAAAAGATTTGTGTAATTGTTGACTTTGATACAGTTGCTGTCAGCCATTGTTTAGAAACCTGAGAAGAAGTACAAAGACTTTTTATTACTCTTGAATTCTCTTGAGTTTCTTATTCCTGTAGGGATACATAAGTTGGCGAGAAGTTGACTGAGATTCCTGTACTGTGTAGCCCTCTTGGTAATGAGCTTGCCTCTGAAGAATGTGGCTGGTTAACTGCAACCATTTCAACATACAACACTCACAAATAAGTTTTCCTATTTAAAAAAAAAAAGCTTTGAACTTCCCACGGTTTTATATTTGAGTAGAGATTTGTTTTGTTTTGTTTTGAAACCAGTGTTCTCCAGCTTCTTAATACTTTCTTTGTGCATGTGTGTGTTTCTGTCTGGGGAAGGGAGGCAGTTTATCATCACTCTTGCTACTAATCTTTATCCTAGTTTGATTTCCTGGTTATGTTCTCTCTTCTAAATCCCTGTAGCATTTAATTTAGGATTTTAAAAAATCATGCAGTGTATAATATGCTACATTTTAAAACATGTGGCATTTAAAAATGTCTTTAGTTCAGCCCCTTGAAATCATCTGTTTCCCAAGGACATTTGTATCAATACATTAAGAGACTGGTTAACAGTTTTTTAGCTTATTTAATTAATGACGAGTGTTTGTTATGTTGTTTTTATGCCCCTTCTATGCTGTAGGTGAAAAAGAGGGAATTTAGATACAGATTCTGCCCTCAGGAAACTTAACAGTCTGGACGGGAGACGGTCCCTATATGTAAAGAATTCTGTATGAGTTAGAACGTAGTGTATTCTATATAAGATAGAATGCAGTAAGAAAGGCCCAGGTAAAATGCTGTGGGGTTTCAAAAGGAAGGAAGAGAAGATGAGGTTGAATAAAGTATTTTAAATGTGTGCTCTCCAGTGGTGACGGAATTCACAGCCTCATGTGCTTTTAAATCCAGCCTCCCTCATCACTGTGTATACTTGTAGGACTCCTTGGGAGAGTTCCCTTTTGGGACTTGGTCCTCTCACCACGTATAATGAAATTTTCACCAGACTCTTCACAAAATCTGTTAAAGCCTGAGGGCCTTAAAGTAAAATGAATTATTTATTTGAATTATTGTGCAAATTTTGATAAAAGCGAAAGTGTTATGTTTGAGTGTTCAAGTGGGATTGGCATTAGACAGTATAATTTGGACAGGTTGGTGGGTTGTTTATATGTGAGCACCCACGGATGCCTGGCTGTTGTAGGTAAGAGCTATGAGCACCAGCCACCTCAACTCCCAAACTTGGAGTATGGTGGGACCTGTGTGTTCCTCAGTGCACCCGAGTTCCCCCCGACCCCATGCCTGAACCCCCAGTTCTCCCGGGTTCCACACCCTTCCCCGAGTGGTGAGAAGCTATAAACCTTTACTCTTGCCTGGGACAGACTCCTCTCTTTTCCTTCCTACTGTAAAGGATCGTGAGGCTGTAGCTGCTTGCTTTTGCCTTTCTCATGCTTCTAGTGTCATTTACAGAAAGAAAAAGTTTGCTCTTTGTTCCGTCTCTGGAATTAGAGTATTGGACTTACTCAGACTAAGTCCTCCCACAGATGACCCTGATTTCTGGTCATTTTTTCCTGCTTATCTTCGGTTTCTGTTGAGGTGAAGATGCCAAAACCTTACTCCTGCGGGAGCCCGCTAAACAGAGGAGCCAGCCCAAACTGGTCTGTGCCAGCTGTAAATTGTTATCTCAGGTCCATAAGAACAATGGAGGAATTTGGTCACTTTATGTAACACGAGATTTATGTGATTGAAAATGCCAGTCTTCTTTTAGCATTTCATTCTGCCAGCGTGTGCTGAATCATTGAACTTGAATTCAACGACCTCATAAATTGAGAGACTAGGCCAAACCAAGACTGAAATACACTAAATACATTTCAAAGAGCTCTTCAAAGCCACCTGAGAAATAGGAGGAAGAAATACTGCTAATTAAAACAAGCAGCA